TAAAAGTAAAGGCGCATCACAGCCCGATGGTTCCTGTTCTTGTAAGAACATAGCAACAATCATTGACCCCAGCTGCATACTAGAGCCTAGGTCAAACCAGTTCCGAATGATGGGGGTTTTTTTGGGTTAAGGTTTTTTTTTGAGGGGGGGGAGGGGGGCGGGGGGGATTCTAAATTTACTTTTCTACCTTCACCATCCGACATAATTTAGGATGAAAGTATGCAATTAGAAACAACAACAACAAACAGCAACCCAACCTTCACATTTTGAACGTCTCCTTTTCTCTCTGTAATGGGAATCATCCTGCGACGTGGGCTGGCACGCCTGCAGTTAAAAATAATCATTAATTAAAAAAAAAAAAAAAAGCAAATACATAAAACTTATGAATCTTGGAAATGCTGTATGTACATCTGTCCGTATGTATAAATGTGGTACTCCTGCATGGACAATAATTTAGGTCATAAATTTCGAGGCGGGCTGAGCTGAGAGAGATACCGAATCACAACAGAAAGACGGGGATAATATGGGAAGAATAAAAGTTTTAACTATCGTATAATTGACCGGCCATCTTAAGATTGCGTTAATATTCTATATTTTTGAAATAACTATTTTTTTTCAAAGCACTTCCATCTGTATTCTTTTACTCACATCAAGGAACATTCACATCCTTTTTCAAACTTGTAATAACAAAGAGTAGCAATCAAACCAAACCTACTTTCACACACACAGCGACACATTCCTCCCCCTCTTCCTCCTCCTCCTCATCACCCCGAGGCCGTCGTCTTTTGCCTCCCGGCGTGACGTCACCAGGCGAGCCTGTCTCCCGAAGACTTTTCCGTGAGGGTCTGCGGAAGAAAACCTTGCGGTTAGTCTTGTTCTGTACATAGAACTATGTTCCGCGCAATATGAAGATTGCTCTACGCGTTTTAACGATCGTACAACTGCCACCCGGGCAAAATTTAAAATCTCCTACCAACTGAAAAAGTTTAATGTGTCCCCGCGTGCTCATATGACCTTATGCAGTTGCGAGCGCCGTAAAACACTTACAAAACAAAACAATAAAGAATAACTGCGCGATAATCTGAAGATTGCGTTAATATTTTATATTTTTAAAAAGATAAAAAACAACAACAACAACAAAACAACGTACTTCCATCTTTATTTTTTTACTCACATCAAAGAACATTCACCTACATTTTCAAAAGTGTAAAAATATCCGAGGAGCCCACAAAAATGATACAATGCCAGGTATCAAACTCAAAGTTCACAAAGCACATTCTAATTCATTTTATATTTTTGAAATATTAAAAAAAAAATTCACTTCCATCTTAATTCTTTTACTCACATCAAAGTGTATTCATGTATATTTTCAAAAGTGTAAAAACATGAAAATTAAAATTGAAAATAAAATTAATATTAAGACATGAAACTGAAGAGCTCCAAAAGAATGTATAATCATACGATCGTTTAAAGGCGTAGCGCAATCTTAGCATTGCGCCGATCGGTAAATTGCCCGGAAAACATAGACTCATCTTTTTCTTGGTGATTGGAGTATACTTACTTATTACTTATAGTGGGACATTGACTCTGTTTGTGAAAGGATGAATTACCACGTTCACGATCTAAATCGGGAGAGAGAGAGAGAGAGAGAGAGAGAGAGAGAGAGAGAGAGAGAGAGAGAGAGAGAGAGAACGAGAGAGCAAGAGAGAGAGAGAAAAGGGGGGGAGGGAGGAGGAATAGAGATACAGACAGAGAGATAGATAGATGGTTAAATAGATAGAAATGATTGTACTACTGATGATGATGATGATGATGATGATGATGATGATGATGATGATGATGATGATGATGATGATGATGATGATGATGATGATGATGATGATGATGATGATGATGATGATGATGATGATGACCTGTCCCTCTGATTAGAAGACTTGCTAGGTCGTCTGCTATCGTTCTGTTCCTGGGAGCTGTACCTCCGGCCCTTGGACTCTCGACACCCACAGTCCTGGCCCGAACTAGTCTGATTTGTAAAAAAAAAAGAAAAAAGAAAAGAATCATTGTTGGCGTTTCACGCACATCATCATCATCTTTGCCTTTCTCACCCTGCACCAGGGTATAGGCCACGGGTACACACTTTCTCACCCTGCACCAGGGTATAGGCCACGGATACACACTTTCTCACCCTGCACCAGGGTATAGGCCACGGACACACACTTTCTCACCCTGCACCAGGGTATAGGCCACGGAAAAACACTTTCTCACCCTGCATCAGGGTATAGGCCACGGACACACACTTTCTCACCCTGCACCAGGGTATAGGCCACGGACAAACACTTTCTCACCCTGCACCAGGGTATAGGCCACGGACACACACTTTCTCACCCTGCACCAGGGTATAGGCCACGGACAAACACTTTCCACTTTTCTCTATCCTGGGCTAGCCTCTTGATGTTATTCCATATATTCCCACTTTTCTGTATATCAATTTCTGTGATTCGGCTTTGTCCGCTGTCCTTCATTGTTCCTGCTGATGCAGAAGCTCTCCTGTCTCCCAAGATCGAAAAATAAAAAGCCGTGTTTCTTTAACTGACTGTTTTTTACAAGGTCGAGTAGTTGGCCCTCCCGCAAACTGACACTTTTCGGCCAACCAGACCAAGTCACCTTAAGTCGCCTCTTACGACACGCAATATCACGGCAGATGTATTCTTTGCTCCCCCATAGTAAGACTGGTCACTTTTAAGCACAAGAAAATCGAAAGTAAAGTTTTCGGACGCTTGTTCAAATATACACACCAATGAAGCCAAACTTATCTATAGGTAAGGCAATGCTCACTTTTGGTGAAGGTCAAGATTTCTGGGAACTCCCTAAATCTGGGTTAGCCCACTTGTCCTTAAAAGCGACTAACTATGCCCCCCCCCCCCAACCTGCAGGGGCGGTTTCACGCAAGCATAGGCATCATTTATATCATTTAGGAGGCGGGCTACCCCGACCCTGCCTGTCAGTGCCAAAACGAGATACAACTTCCTTGCAGACACACGTCGAAAGTCTGAAAATAATGATACTGATGTTGATAGGCAATCAGTAGTAACTACTTGCAGACACATGTACGAACGGTTTTCCAGATAGAAACAGCTTTGACACGTTATGAGCTCTCACCCACCCACGGAACCCCCCCCCCCCCCCACACACAACTAAACGACCAGTTGAACAACAACAACAACAACAAAATGACAAAAGCAGCAGCAGCAGCGACAACAACAACAACAACAACAACAACAACAACAACAAAAACAACATCACCACCACCACCACCTCAATCACCATCAACACCAACAACAACACCAACACCACCACCACCACCAACAACAACAACAACGGAATAGAAACCTTTTTCCTTCCCGCCTTACGACTGTCCTCCCGTCCACCTCCGTCACGTGACATTTTCCTGGACACCGGCGACTTGCACGGGGACGACCGTGTACTTGTGTTCCTGGACACCGGCGACTTGCACGGGGACGACCGTGTACTTGTGTTCCTGGATGAACCGGAGCGACACCGCTTCATGTTCACGTCATCCCTTGGTTTTGAGGATGGAAAAGCACATCGGCGAGGCAACGTTCATTTGGGGGGATGGTTTACACCCATTTAGATTCCAACACAGTTATTTTTAGAACATAATAATTATAGGAGGTGAGCATTGCATTGAGCAGAGAGGGATACAAAGTGTTTGTTTTAGTAAGAGTTTCACTCGCAACACAATAAGGTCATATAAGGGCCGAAGATCAAAGGTGTTAAAAGAGAGTAACAAACACAAAAAACAAGGAGGAGAGATCAGGATGATAGCTGTTTGATAGGAAAGAAGGAGCAAACCACAACAAGAGCACCCACCAACCACCCGCCGACGACGTTTTATAGAGTTAGATAAAGACATCGACACGATAACGAGCGGCCATGTCATGCTGTTAAAAGAGTTGGACAGACAAACAGAAATAGCGAGGGAAAGAAAAAAGAAACAGGGCATACCAGTGATGCCCTCCAACCACCCACAAAGGATCATCTCTGTTCCCTGATAACAAAATACTTTGCAATCAAGTTTTATTGGGATTGGGGGGGGGGGGGGGGCAAGACCAGACTCATTAAAGACCAAACGTTTAAAAAATATTTTCGTTGTTTTTATACACACATCGACACAGTTTAGATCACTTAGCTGGCGGACTTCGACCCAGACAAAAGGCAGAGATACACTTACGTATTGAATGAAAACTCTCCCTACACTGCTATCGAACCCAGGTCTTCTGCATATTACAGCGAAGCACCTAATCATCACACCACATACACATGTTAATTTGTTAATTGACATTGGCTATCCATCAGCCAAATTCGCCTAATAAGAAGGAAAAAACTCAACAACCAAGAAACTATATCAATAAAAGTAAACCTACCCCAACCCTTGCGATTTATACATCACGATAATCACAGCCTGCTGCTTCCTGGTCCTGTTAGACAGCTGCTGCAACCCAACAATTATGACCCGTACGGTATTGCGCACTAGGTCAAGCAATGCGATAGTATAAGGGAGGGGGGGTGCAACTTTACCATTAGACAATTAGTACAATATTCTGTATATGTTCTAAAATGGTGTATCTGCACCCACCTGTGGGGAGAGCTGATGGACTGAGACCTCGACTTTGGACGTCCGGGGGAGCCCGGGCTGCCAGGTGACATCATTTCTCCCTCCTGACCTTGACCTTTGAAAATCTTCTGGATCTCCTCCATGCACTTCTCCCTGCTGGGGGTCATGACCCCACCACCATCACCGCCCTTCCCACGACCCCCGCTAGGAACGTCCAGGTCACTGGCGCTTTGGTTCGGTCGCTTCTTTTTGCTGCACGTGATTCTTGTTCTGACACCGAGGTGGAGGGGGAGAGATTTCAATGTCCATAGATAACTGGTCACTTTTAAGGACAAGCGGGCTAACCTAGATTTCGGGGGTTTCCAGAAATCTTGACCTACACCAAAAGTGGACATTGCCCTACGTATAGGAAAAGTTTGGTTTCATTGGTGTGTATATTTGTTTTGTTATAGAGAAATCTCTCCTTGTCTGTTCAAGAAACGGAACAAGGGGTCAAAACTTTACCTTCGTTTTTCTCAAAACAAAATTTTTCGGGTTAGCCCACTTGTGCTTAAAAGTGACCAACTATAATTTTTAAAAGTAAAATTGTTCCCGTATTCGATCCGGACATTTGGGAATTACCTTGTTAGTGAGACAACTTCCTGGGCCTTCGGCATATTGTGGTATGTAGGGTGAACTATAATTTGTTCTTGTGAAAGCTGTATCAGGCTGGGTCAGGCACAGAAAGGCAGGGTCGAAGCCCGAGGTCTAGACGATCTAAATTGAGTGCAAGTGTAAGGTGGTTTTTTTTTAGGTGTTGGGTTGGAAAGGGG